AACACATACATTGAGGAAAGTACCGAACTGCGTCACAAGGCAATCCGTCACATGGAATCATTAAGGCCAAAGGAGAAGAGGAAGACCAAAATACACACTGCGCCAGGAAATGGAGACAGGCAGGAGAAAATTGAACAACAATTGGATAGGACTATAAAGGAAGGTGGAGGACAGAGTGGGTTGATGAATGCTGATCGGTGGCTTATGCGTAGGTAAGTAAATAAGTAAGCGTAATCTAAAGAACATATCAGACTATGAAAACACCTAGTAAGCCATTTGCTACGTACGAATCTCTCAAAGAGTGATTTTAGATTTGCTTCGAAACAGCTAAACGCTTTAGATATATAGACATGCCAACTGACCTATGGGAAGGAGTTTGTTTTGTTTAAATTTTAAAGAGAATGTTGCGGTAAATAAATCCACAAAATAAGTAGCTCTAAGTTTTCGACATTGGATGCTGCCCATATGTTTTAGTGGACTCATCTAGCTGAAGGCGCTCGGTCATGCATCCGCACTAGATCACGTGTGGTAACGCTGTGCTCAACATCTACGGCAATCGCTAGCCAGATTAGATCAGAGAATTCCAATATATTGGTAGTCGCCAAATACACTCTTCCGATCTCCTCGACTCTGTCTTTTGATTTCTCTGGGTGGGAAAGAATTATATTAGTAGGTGTTACTGGTAAAAGCGTTGTCAAACACTGAATATCTGTGTCATCTTCATTGGTGAGACCGACGTGATCTGGTACACCTAATTTCAACGGTGAGTCTGTTCCTTTTTGGGATTTTCTATATATCATTACCTTATTTTTTGTTTTTATAAACATTGTGATAGTTTTTTCGTGTTTTTTCTCGGATATATATTTTTTCCCTTCGTTCATTATCGTACTTTATACTTCATCATGACTGAACAGACACCTAAAGTACTCAAGCTTAAGACTCTGTCCCCGCCTTCGTTTCAACTGATGCCTTTCTGGCCCGACAACATCGAAGCCTGGTTTTGCTACGCAGAAGCCGACGCGTCACAGACAGCATTAGTTGCGGTGCTACAACAAAAATTGAATAATTAAATCAAATCACCTACTTTCTTTTCAAAGAAACTAGAACCAACTCAAACGCAATATAGCAATTTTGACAGAGAATTATTGGCTGTTTGCTTAGCGGTTAAGCATTTTAAACACTTACTGCAAAGTAGAAATTTCGTGAAATTCACTGACCACAACCCTTTACTCACGCCTTTAACGCCCTCAGATAAGTAGATCACGGTTATCGATTCTCGATCAACATGCAGTTTACGAAAGATGAATCAAGTTTTTTAGCAGATACTTTATCACATTTCGATGTCAGTGCTATTTTCTCCAGTAGACCATTCTACCAGATGACCATTTGCATGCCCAAAAAAGCCATCTCATAAGAAAACATTGCTACCGTATTCCTTGGGAGATGGACTCCTAATTTTTGTGTGTCTTCTACTGTTACGACCGAACAGCCAAGATTCGGTTGAAACTACGGACTGACGAACCCAAAATTTATTCGATTAGACCAGACCAAGTTCCTCTGTATAGCTCACAACGCGTCTTTGAGATACTCGTATTATATTATATCAAAAAACAAACTCTGTGCTCAATATAAACGGTTCTAATTAAGAAAACAGAACAAATTACATCAAAAATACAAAATACTTCAAACGGTACAGCCTATGCTATACAGTCAGAAGTTTCTCTAACGCAGAGTAGTGCGCTAAACGATGAAAGAGACAGTTAATACTAAAGGGTTTGATACCTGAGAATCAATACAAAAATTCCCAATAAGATGGGATCAAATATCTGTCTGCAGGGATTGCAGCAATTCTCCCAAGCAGAGGTTCACAGTTTCATTCTCACCTCTTCAATGAAGTTACATTTTGAGAATACATTACATCACTACAATAACATACCATCCAGCAACAAGTAGAATGATGGAACGATTCCACAGACAACTGAAAAGCTCACTGATGGTACAGCCAGATGCAACCAAATGGAATGAATTCTTACCTCTGAATTTATTGAGCATACGTTCTATAATTAAGGAAGACCTCCAATGCACACCTGCACAGCTCGTTTATGGAGCTCATTTAACCTTACCTGATCAACTAGTAATGTATGATGTCATATCCCTATGTACGTACCCTGCTTTCTTTTGCGAGATATTATTGAGCCAAATGAATAACATTAAGCCTGTTGCAAGTAAGCCAGCGTCTTGACACACTTAAGTTTGTAATTGTTCGTGTTTGCTCCATAAGATGTCCTTTACAGCACCCTTATGAATGACCTTATGAAGTAGTGGAGAGGCAAACAAAATGTTTCAAAATCAAAAAGAATGGAAAAAAAGAAACCGTTTCAGTTGACAGGATAGAACCTGCTTTTATACAGTCCGAAACACGTGACATTCGAAAGCCGTCGGAAGACAGTAGCAATTGCACAACGCAGCTTCATGCGTTTCTAGCTAATTCTTCATCTACTTCTGCGAAATCAACACCTCTTACAAACGGTGATGCTAAAGTTACTAATTCCACCACGTTAACTTCTTTGAAAACCGCTCGTACAGGGAGACAGGTACATATTCCCAAACGTTATGTTAAACTCATTACTTAATCTTCCGTTATTTTTTGTAGTGCGGGTAAATACCTACACAATAGCAGAGATGCTAATGACATTTTTTACAAACAACTTTTAGAAATAAAACATTTTGTATGTACTGCTATCACTGAATAATCGATTATATTACCCCTACCGTATATGAGCTTCGCAAGATATTCATCATTGTGTGTAATGATTTTTAACTTCGTTGTACTCGTTCACCTTATTACTAATCGTTTACATAATATATATAAATAAATTCACAATTTATTCGGGAAACTATCAATTTACTTATTGTTATTATACATTGCTTTACCGTTGTTAAACCTTTTATCTACATTTATAAATACATCAAAAATAGTCTAGGGTGGAGCTGTTAACAGTTTTGACAACACATTTGCTTAACCACACGGGTAGGTGCTCACGAGCCCGAATGTACAAATTCCTAGAACATCTGCCAATATAACTTGCTCCACAGGAGCATTTGAATTGGTAGATACAGAAGGAGTTGGCTAGTCTTGGTAATTTATCTTTCAGCCTCGGAGTGATTATTGGTCGTGTGGAGAATACTAGTTGTAGTTTAGCTGCATTAAAAGTCCTTTGAATTGGTCTACTTAACTTAAGTCTTAACATTTCACTCGGCACGTCGCCTCTGAGCTGTAAGCGTATATATAGAGGCTTTTTATTTACCGCTGGGCATTCTCTACGCTGTCTTTGATTGGCTAAGTTTTTATTTGTAAATTTCTCCGGATATCCATTGTCCTTCAGGGTTGTAAGCAATGTCTTTGTTTCATCTTCAATCATATCCATAGTGAATATAGTCTTGATTCTATGATGTAGTGTCTTGACAAGGTTCCTTTTTTGTTGTAGAGAAACGAAACTGAGAAAGTTAGTATATTGACCCGTCCAGGTCATTTTCCTGTTTATGTTTGTTTTTAGCGTTCCATCTTTTCTCCTTGTAAGCAGAACATCTAGGAAGGCTATTTTACCCCCATTTTCTTTCTCACATGTGAATTTTATGGACGGGTGAGCTGTATTGAATTGCTCGAGTGTTCTTATCAAGTCCGTATGCTCGTTAAAAAGGATAAATGTGTCATCCATATATCAACAGTACAATGAAAACTTATCGATCTCTTGTGCCAGTGGGCCGTTTTCTAGTTTAGAAAGGAAAATGCCTAACAATATGGGACCCAGGGCTAAACCCATCGTGACGCCATCTATTTGTCTGTAGATTTCACCATTGGATTGGAAATGTACATTCATAGCGCATTTTAGTAATAATTCTTTGATGATCCTCACAGGGATTGTCGTTTCTAGTTCCTGTTCTCTAAGTTGTTCACAAATATATTCTACGGTTTCTCTAAGTGGGACATTTGTGAACAGCGATCTGATCTTTTGTGTTTATGTTTTTAATTCTTTCAACGAATTGGAATACGTCCTCAATACTATGTTTTACCAGGCGATCATGGAGTGGTTTCAAAACAGTTACTAGCCACTTTGCTACAGTATGATATGGGGAATCGCGTATGTCCAAAATTGGCCTTAATGGGATATCCGGTTTATGTATCTTTGGCAGTACGTATAACCTAGGTAAATGTGTACATATCGGCTTAATTGTTTCTTATACGTCTTTTGGAATCACCTGTTGATCTCTGAGCTTAAAAAATCTCAATTCAACTGAAATAATTATTCAGAACTGTCATATTCCATATAACACAGGCGACTTTTGCGGGTCATTTTGAAGTTCCAAACCATCCAGTCCATTTTCTAATTCTCTAATCATCATGATAACCTCAGGTTATAGTAATGTTTTGATAATGATGGGAGACTAGTAATGCCATCTACTCATAATTTTAATTCTGATGTAGCCGTTCTCCAGTCATGGCCAAACATTTACAACATTGGTTTACAAATGTAGGTGTTCCACAGCTGATAATGGACCGAAACCCAAAAGTGGTAATGATGTCACGAAAGTTTTGTGCTTTTTCTGTGATACATTTATGATGGGAGATCTTGGATACAGTAAACCGGGAAGCCAGGAAGGAAGAATGACAAGGGTATAATAGGAGTATGTTCAATATATCGAGGAGTGTTTGATCTTAGCTGACCATTCGTTGCAAGGGACGGGCGGTATTACTTAATCAGTAGTGGCCCGTTGCGGGTGCGTGAACAGGAGCTTTCAGCTAGGATTACCTCAATAAATCAAGTGAGGTCAGCGTTAATGTTGAAGAACTACTGATTTATTTATTTTCGGGATTTATGTACCACCATAGAAGCATTAAGTTAAGGATATACTATCTGATAACTCTTTAGAATGTCCCGATTGAACATGTCAACCAAACGACTTTGTTTACTCTGCATCTTCTTACGCAAAATTTAATCATGGTGAGCATTGTGCTTAAAAGAAATGATACAACGTACAAAGTATATGACTTTGACCATAAGTATGACCGGTTTCCGGATACTTGATTCACCTATGTTTTAACGACACTACATCATCGTTTAAGTCCAGCGAACTGATAGAACTGTTGCTCTACACAAAGAAGTGATGGACGTTGTTAGTATTCGGTGACCTATCAAATCGATATGGCGACCTTTTTGTTTCACAAAGAAGCAGAACAGACATTAAGACGCTCTGCAAATTATGCACTGATCGGATCACACTCGTCGGAGAAGCTTTGGAGGATGAAATTCCTTCACATATCTGAGCAACATCATCGACGAACACTGCGGATCGGATTCAGATGTCAAAGCGCATCCGCAAAGAAAGAGCATCTAGAACTCAAAACAACTGTCAAATAACACTAAGGTCAGAATTTTCATTACAAATGTCAGGACAGTTCTACTGTATAGGGCGGAAACCTGGAGAACTACGAAAGCCATCATTCAGAGGATACAAATGTTTATTAACAGTTGTCTACGAAAAATACTTTGGATCCGTCGGCCAGACACTATCAGTAACAACCTACTGTAGGAGAGAACAAACCAGATTACAGCGAACGATGAAACCAGGAAGAAGCGTTTGAAGTGGACAACACATACATTGAGGAAAGTACCGAACTGCGTCACAAGGCAATCCGTCACATGGAATCATTAAGGCCAAAGGAGAAGAGGAAGACCAAAATACACACTGCGCCAGGAAATGGAGACAGGCAGGAGAAAATTGAACAACAATTGGATAGGACTATAAAGGAAGGTGGAGGACAGAGTGGGTTGATGAATGCTGATCGGTGGCTTATGCGTAGGTAAGTAAATAAGTAAGCGTAATCTAAAGAACATATCAGACTATGAAAACACCTAGTAAGCCATTTGCTACGTACGAATCTCTCAAAGAGTGATTTTAGATTTGCTTCGAAACAGCTAAACGCTTTAGATATATAGACATGCCAACTGACCTATGGGAAGGAGTTTGTTTTGTTTAAATTTTAAAGAGAATGTTGCGGTAAATAAATCCACAAAATAAGTAGCTCTAAGTTTTCGACATTGGATGCTGCCCATATGTTTTAGTGGACTCATCTAGCTGAAGGCGCTCGGTCATGCATCCGCACTAGATCACGTGTGGTAACGCTGTGCTCAACATCTACGGCAATCGCTAGCCAGATTAGATCAGAGAATTCCAATATATTGGTAGTCGCCAAATACACTCTTCCGATCTCCTCGACTCTGTCTTTTGATTTCTCTGGGTGGGAAAGAATTATATTAGTAGGTGTTACTGGTAAAAGCGTTGTCAAACACTGAATATCTGTGTCATCTTCATTGGTGAGACCGACGTGATCTGGTACACCTAATTTCAACTGTGAGTCTGTTCCTTTTTGGGATTTTCTATATATCATTACCTTATTTTTTGTTTTTATAAACATTGTGATAGTTTTTTCGTGTTTTTTCTCGGATATATATTTTTTCCCTTCGTTCATTATCGTACTTTATACTTCATCATGACTGAACAGACACCTAAAGTACTCAAGCTTAAGACTCTGTCCCCGCCTTCGTTTCAACTGATGCCTTTTTGGCCCGACAACATCGAAGCCTGGTTTTGCTACGCAGAAGCCGACTTCTCCGAGCACGGCGTGATCGACACACGTGCACAATTCCTCGCAGTAGTCAAGGCACTACCGCGCGAATTCAACAGGTACGTAACACCTAGTATGTTTACTAGTGATGTTTCCGAACCTTACGAAATCTTAAAACGCTCGATTCTTAAACGAGGAGACCTAACCGATCGACAAAGGTTAAATCAACTCTTCAATAACATCGATCTGCAAAACGGTTCTGCGACAGACATGTTGCAACGGATGAAAGAGGTTATAGGCCCAAGAACTTTCGACGAAGGTCTATTCAAACAACTCTTCTTGTCAAAACTTCCCCAACAGGTGCAAGCAGTTCTGGTCTCGTTCCAGAACAACGCCTTAGACGAGCTAGCTGCATCTGCCGACCGTATTCTAGAAATTACGAAACCTACTACCGAGGTATTTTCAGTCAGAGAAAAGCCTCACACGACTCAGAATGATATAACCGACTTATGTCACACACTCACGCGTTATCTTAGTCTTAGTACCGACCGTAAGAGATCGCGCACACCACGTAGAAGCATTTCTCGTAAGCGATCTGTCTCTAGACCACGAGAGACAGATAACCCCGACTGGTGCTGGTATCATAACCAGTATGGAAAGTTTTCCAGAAATTGCAGAAAACCCTGCAATTTTCCCAACACGAAACCGACTGATTCGAAAAACAATTCGGGAAACTTCCAAGCCGTCACGCGTTAACGGCAACCGTAGCCGAAGAACATAGCCGTCTGTTATACGCCACAGATGTGACAACGAGAGTTCGCTTCCTCGTCGACACTGGCGCAGAAGTTAGCGTTTTCCCAGCGAATTCCAACGACCGACTTCACGAATCGACCCTAAACTTACAGGCGGCAAACGGAAAACCGATCGCTACGTATGGCAAAAGGTACGTTTACCTTAACGTGGGTTTACGCAAACCCATTCACTGGATTTTCGTTGTTGCTCATGTTTCTATGCCAATCATTGGTATGGACCTTCTACAACACCATAATCTGATCATCGACACTCGCAAACGGAGGCTAGTAGACGGAAACACTAATTTGTCCGTTTGCGTAACTTCTTTTACTGGTTGCAGATTATCCCCAGTCACAGTTAAGCATATGATAGACCCACTCTATCAACCACTACTCGATAAGTACCCTGGCATACAACAAACTCAACCAAAACTACCGTGTGTAACCAGCATCACATCACGACTACAGGACCACCTGTATTCTCTAAAGCACGACGACTAGCTCCTGAAAAACTAAGGTTAGCGAAAAACGAATTCGATCACATGATAGACTTAGGAATCATACGACCGTCAAGTAGCCCATATGCATTTCCGTTGCACATGGTCCCTAAAAAGGACAGCAACGATTGGCATCCAACTGGAGACTATCGGCGATTGAATGCAAAAACCATTCCCGATCGTTACCCGTTGCCTCACATTCACGATTTGACAGTTACCTTGAAAGGTGCAACTGTCTTTTTGAAAATCGACTTGGTTAAAGCGTATAACCAATTTCCTATGGCTACTGACGACATACCGGAAACAGCTATCATAACTCCCTTCGGACTCTATGAATTTTTGCGAATGCTTTCGGTCTAAGAAATGCTGCTCAAACATTCCAAAGATTCGTAGACGACGTTTTCGAGGTCTCAACTTCATACATGCGTATGTTGACGACTGTCTAATCGCAAGTCCGGACAGAGAAACACATCTCAAACATCTGGATCTTGTTTTCGAACGACTACAAAAACATGGCATAACTGTTTTTGGTGGAGTTTTGTTCTCTGAGTTGGATGGTTTGGTCGTGGAGCTTTCATCGTCCTTCTGAACGACATCACCAGCACAAACTTGTTCAGAAATGCCGATTCGGAACCGACTCATTAAACTTCCTAGGACACACTATAGATGCTCAAGGCATTCGACCCCTTAGGACCAAAGTGGAGGGAATTCTGGACTACCCAGAACCGACCAACGTCAAGCAATTACGAACGTTTAACGGCCTGGTAAGTTTCTATAGACGCTTCATACCGAAATGCGCATTACTTATGAAACCTCTTACCGACCAACTTCGTGGAAATACGAAATCCATTAATTTGGACGACACCGCACGAAAAGCATTCTCTACAATTAAGGAACTGATCGCTAAAGCAACAATGCTCGCACATCAGGACGCCGAAGAACCCATTAGTATCGCAGTAGACGCATCGGACTCGGCAATCGGAGGAGTCTTACAACAACGGGTTAACCACTCATGGCAGCCCTTGGCATTTTTCACTAGAAGGTTGCTAGACACCGAATCGAGGTACAGCACATTCCGCAGGGAACTCCTAGCTATGTATTGTGCTGTATGGCATTTCCAACACTATATCGAAGGCCGTGAATTCACTCTCTTCACCGACCATAAACCGCTTACTTTCTCGTTAAGCTCTCTTTCTGACAAGTACTCTCCCCGTGAGTCTCGACAACTGGACTACATTTCGCAGTTTACTTCAGACATTCAACACATCTCTGGAGCAAACAGCTTAGTTGCAGACGCCTTATCTCACATAACTTCCTTGAACAGCTTCCAAGGCATCGACCTTCTGAAACTCGCCGAGCTTCAAAAAGAAGACACTGATCTTCAGCACGAGTTATCGTCTACAACCCTTAAACTACGCATCAAACAGATGAGAACAGGTAAGGAAACCTTACTTTGCGACACATCTAACGTAGGGATCGCACAACCGTCCCGAAACATTATCTCCCCGTAACTAAATAAACCGTATCAAACTAACTGGAACACTAGTTGGAATTCTCCACGATAATACTTTTGTACTTTCAGTTAGCCTACTAATACAAATGCAATTAAAATCAACATATGGACAACTTACCGGCATAATCGTTATATGATTTCATAATTTAAACCGAAACTAATACCAATATTAACATTTCTACAACATTGATTGCTTGTAATATTTCTAAACACAAAATACTTACCACCTATATGTTAAGTTATTAACCAACGGCTATTAACACGCATCGTTTTATTATTATTATTATTATTATTATTATTATTGTAATCCCATTTTTTATAGCTCAAATAATCTTTACCCAATTTTTCATTTCAAGCGTTTTAAGCATGAAGGCAGATATTTTAAAATTATTTCATGTATTTCCCGACCAGATGCTGCCGCCTTCTTTTCGATTTATCTTTCAGCTTACCACTACCCAGAGGATTCTTATTGTCCTTGGTAACCTCCGGCGCGCGACGATTTCATCCAATTTGGTATCGAACCAACATCACGTTGATTCTGGTGGGAGAGTAGTGCAGTGGTATTGGATCATAA